CCCCCCCCGGATAATAAGCCCTTAGGCAGCCGGCATTTGGGAGTCCGCCGGCCGCTAGGAAGGACGTCATCCGACGTGGCCGCCCCAGGGTCTCATCATAGAGAGGGAGAAGCCAGAGTGACGCGCGGCTTTGGTTGGTGGCTCCCCTTCTGGGGACACGATTCGGATCGGGACCTCTGGAAAGGGCGGAGCGGGGAGAGTCAGCGAAAGCCTCGCCCCGCCCCGGCAGGACGGCACAATTAAATAGGGTTGCCAACCTCCCGGCGTGGCCTGGCAATCTCCCGGAATGACCATTCTTCACCAAGCGACAGAGATCACACACACACACCCCCCCGGGAGGAAACGGCTGCTTTGGGAATTTTGCAATTTTTCAAAAACCGCCTCCCCCAATCATTTTCTGATGAGTGTGCTACATTGACCCTCTGGCTCTTCCCCTCTGATTGGCCTGACATAGCCGCCCGAGGGTTGCCAGCTCCAGGTCGGGAAATTCCGGGAGATTTTTTTAAAGGGGTGGAGCCTGGGGGAGGGCAGGGTTTGAGGAGGGGAGACTTCAGTGGGGCATGATGCCACAGAGTCCGCGCTCGGAAGGGGCCATTTTCTCCTGGGGAAACTGATCTCTGTTGTCTGAAGAGAAATGACAATTCTGGGAGCTCCCCGGGCTCCACCTGGAGGTTTCATCAAAAAATGCAAGAGAAGATGAGACAGCAAGTACATTCACTGAAGAAGACTCAGTTTCAAGATTTGGGGGGGGGGGGGGCCATTAAGGGGGGAGGACAAAAGTTTAAAGAAAAAAGAGATGCTGATGTTTCCTGATGTTTGCACTAGCGAATTTCATTTATGCTCTTGTATACCTCTGTATGGAGCTGCGGTGGCTCAAGTGGTTAAGACGCTGAACTGCAGGCTGTGGAAGGTCGGTAGTTCAGCAGTTCAAGACCCGGGTGCCACATGACAGAGTGAGCTCCCGTCTCTAGTTCCAGCTCCTGCCAACCTAGCAGTTCGAAAGCAAGAAATTGCAAGTAGATCAATAGGGACCGCTTCGGTGGGAAGGGAACAGCGTTCCGTGCGCCTTGGTGTTTAGTCATGCCGGCCACAGGACCACGGAAACGTCTTTGGACAGCGCTGGCTCTTCGGCTTTGAAACGGAGATGAGCACCGCAACCCTAGAGTCGGACTCGACTGGCTTTCGAGCAAGGGAACCTTTTCCTTTATACCTCTGTATACTATACTCTGTATAGACTCTTGTTAGTCCCTTGGACGGCAAGAAGATCAAATCAGTCAATCCTAAAAGAGCTCAACCCTGGCTGTTCCCTGGAAGGCCAGATAATGAAACTGAAGCTCAAATACTTTGGCCACCAAGTGAGAAGGGAGCACTCACTGGAGAGGACCCTGATGCTGGGAAAGATTGAAGGTTGAGGAAGATGGGGACAGCAGGGGATGAGATGGTTGGACAGTGTCGTGGATGCAACGAGCATGAGGTTGAGCAAACTTCAGAGGATGGCGGAGGACAGGAAGGCCTGGCGTGATCTGGTCCATGGGGTCGCGGAGAGTCAGACTCGACTGTGCGTCTGAACAGCAACAAAATTACCTCTGTATATAGTCAGATTACTGTGCAACTGAACAACAACAACATTACCTCTTTGCTGGGATTGATGATAGAAGCCACACCATGATTGTTCACCTTCAACGTTAACAAACATTAATTGTCTAGAAAGCTAGTTCTGTAAGCATGTATGACCTTCATCTCTTGGGTTATTAGTGGTTTTCTTTACTTTCTCCCATAGTTTATAGATTCCCCTCCCTTGATTTCTTGTAGTTTATTTAGAAAATGCAATAAAGAATTCAGTCCTTTTGGATGTGTTAAAAATAATAATGCAAGAACCGTGAAATGACAACTGTGGAAATATGGAAAGTTCAATACTTCAATATTTTCAGATTGTATAATATTTTCTTATTATCATGCACATGTTTCTGCAACAGTACATGTCTTAATCACAATAAGCAATTCATTATCACTATCAAGAGTTCGTTCTAATGGTGAATGAAAGTTCCTGCAAGTGTTCTTTCCAAGATTAACGTGCTTGTGCTGTAGTAAACGGTCCTATGTCCTTTGTTCTTTCAAATCCAGTAATTGTGGATGATTTATGGACGTTCTAATGGAGAGACATATGCAGTATAATAAGAAAATATGGAAATATTGAACTTCCCATCGTTATTATTTCATGGTTCTTTTATTTTTTAATTATACCTTGTTCCCGTGGATCTCTCTGGATTCCATATCCGCCTGGAGGTTGGCAACCCTAACAGGCAGGCCTGGGCTCCCTAGGGCCACCAGATTCTGCCCCCGCCTGTTCCCTGGCATAGGGGGCTCCATAAGTGCTGACTGTTCATTCGACCTTCAGGAAATGGTCTGTGGCGAAAAGGTTCCCAGTCCTCAGTGTCCTCGGAAATCACTGGAATGGCTTCCGGGTACCAGGGTTGAGGAATTCTGGGTGATTTGGGGATGGAGCCCAGGGAAGGTGGGCTTTGGATTGAGGAGGGACTTTGGCAGAGTTTAATGCTGTACAATCCGCCCTCCACGGCAGCCTTTCTCTCCAGACGAATTGATCCCTGTCATCCCTGTAATTCTCGGAGAACAACAGACTCCCACCTGGAAGTTGCTGGCCTATTCATAGAATCATAGAATGTTAGAGTTGGAAGGGACCTTGCAGGTCATCTAGTCCAGTCCCCTGCACTCTGCAGGAGCAGAGCCGAAAGAGAGCCCTACAACGTACCCGAAAGAGGGTCGTCCAGCCTCCGCTTGAAACCACCCAGCAAGGAGCCAGTAGAATCATAGAATGTTAGAGTTGGAAGGGACCTTGCAGGTTTCTCCTGATATTTAGCCAGTAGAATCATAGAATGTTAGAGTTTGGGGCACTCTGCAGGAGCACAGCCGAAAGACAGCCCTAAAACATACCCGAAAGAGGGTCGTCCAGCCTCCACTTGAAAACGTCCAGCGAAGGAGCCTCCACCACCTCCCGAGGCAGTCTGTTCCACTGCTCAACCACTCTCACAGTTAGGAAGTTTCTCCTGATATTTAGCCGGTATCGGCTCCCTTGTAATTCCCACCCATTAGACCTAGTCTTGCAATCCGGAGCAAGAGAGAATGGATCTGCTCCATCTTAGGATGAAAGCTTCACATGGTGTTTCAGTGACAGAGTTCACATACATACTTTGGTCAGATTGAATACACCACAGGAAGGGTTGCCAGCTCCAGGTTGGGAAACTCCTGGAGTTTTGGGGATAGAGCCTGGGGAGGACGGGGACCTCAGAGGGGTA